ATATAAAATGAAAAATATAAAGTTATCAAAGATATAAAAGAAATAAATATAATAAATAAAATATATAAAATAAATAATATATAATAAATATATGAGATAAATAAAATAAAATAAATAAAAGAAATATATTGTATAAAAAAAATATATGCTATAGATGACATAGATGACATAGAAGACATATATGATTTTTTAGAAATTGACGTCATCCTTTAGATCATCATCATCTATATCTTTTTTCATGTAATACTATATTATTTACTTATTAACAAATCTGTTGTAATATAGGATTTTAACTTTTGTTATTTGCTAAAATGAATTTTATCAAGCAGCTATACTTAAGACTAATATTATGTTTTATTAATTGTTTTCTTATATTTAGATAAAAATAATGTCATAAAATGATCATATTACTTTGTTACCAAATCTGAAAGAATTAAAAAATCTTATATTATTAATTTAATATTAAATATACTTAATAGAAGAAATCCAAATTATTTATTATTAGCTCTAACTAGTATTGCTACATAAAATATAAGAGAAAAAACTATTCATTCTGCATTACATATTATAACTACTTAAAGAAGTTTTTATATAAAAGTTTATACAAATAAAAAATTAAATGATAACTTAAAAAAAATTGATATTATAATTATAGATGAAATATTTATAGTATCTAATAAACTTTTTGATTATATATTTGTAAACCTTAAAATAATGCTAAAGCATTTAATAGTATAAATGTTATAGTTATTGATGATCTTACATGATTATCTTTAATTAATAGTCAACTAGTATTTTATGAATCTACTTAATCCTTATTTTATCTTATTTTTAAAAACCTCTTAATATCAACAAACTGATAATAAATTTTATCAAATGTTATAAAAAATCTGAATAGGTAATATCACTTCTGAAATTTGAAAAATTCTTTAATGATAACATTCTGAATTTTTAACACATCTTGCAATTGATACTTTTTTTAATATTATAGCTTTTAGAGAAACTGCTTAACAAATTAACAGAATGGTTTGTAAATATGCTTCCTGTATCTGATAATAAATTTCTAATCTTCTAATCTATTAATTTTATAAATTCTACACAATAGAATTCATTATCTTCTGAAAATATCTTTAAAATTAGAACTAATATACTTTCTTCAATTAGATTACAACCAGGAACATGTGTTATATATCTTAATAATAATTATCAATTGAACAAAAAATATGTAATATTATAATAGAAATTATCACTAACCTTAATCTTATAGATCAATCTGTTTGTGTTGCATTTTCAGTTAAAGGTTTTATTATTAATACAATAATTTACAAATAAACCTATTATTTTGAATAATATGAAAACAACTGTTATCATACATAATTTTCATTTCAAAACTCTCTTGCTCTTACTGTTCATAAAATTCAAGATTTATTATCAAAAGTATTTCTTGTATTAGATGGAAATATATTTTCTCTTAGATAAGCTTATGTGATTCTTAATAGATATTTGAAATAATATTGAAATATCTCATTTTGATTGTTCAACATTTATGATAGATCAAAATATACTTCTAGAATATGAAAGATTATATAAAAATCAGGATCTAACCCTCATAATTTTTTACAAAAAAGAAAATTATTATATAACTTTTAACATTTTTTTCTTATGATAAATAAATTCATTACAAAATTATAATTAATCAATCAATTCATATTAACTTGTTATATGACTTATCTTTATTCAAATTACATTATCATAATTTTATTAAAAAAAAAAAATATTAATTAAATATTATAACAAAAAGATTTATTAACTACATTTATAAAAATATATAATATATAAATTACATTATAAATAAAAAATAAAAACGATTTTTTAAAACTATTCCTAAAAGTAATACAGTCAACTTTCCCTATAATCACACATTTCAGGATCATCAAATGCTGTAATTATAGGGAAGTGTTCTTATAACGGAATCCTTCTATATAGTCACAGGTATATTAAAAATATAAAAAATGTGATTATATATATTTAATTTATAAAATTTATATAAAGTTCAAATAAATAAAAATTATATAAAAGAAATTTATTTAAAATGCATATAAAAGACATTTATTTAAAACAATTGGTATCGTTAATATATTACAGGTAATTTTTGGTTATTTTTTGATTTTGTTAATTATCGATATATTTTATGCGATAAAATGTGATAATTAGTGATAAGAGGATAAACATCGATAATTATCTCCTAAAAAATTTCCTGTTATAAAAAAATGTATTAGTTAATGTTTAATAAATGATATTTTTTTTACTTGTAATTGTTCACTCCGCAATATTTTTCGTTTCTAGAAGAAGTTGTACTATCAGTAACGTTGATAGTTTCACTCATTATTTAATTGTTACAAATTAAAGTCGTATAAAAAAAGTCTAGCGCGTCAATTATATTGATATTGTTTAAATCAGATCATCCAGGTCACCAGGGTCGACCTGGGTCGACTCAGTTCTTTATTCTAATTGGTCGGTGATAATAAAGGAGGATTTTACATTATCTTATTAGGCTGATAATTGTGACTATATGGGAGGTCGACTTTATTATTGATTTTCGCATTTTAACTCTAAACGATGATTGGATGAAGGAAAATCCCATATATCATTGACATTTTCTCAGAGATTTGTTAGAATTACAAAATGTTTTTTATTGTAAGCACTTTTTTTTTTTTATTTTTTCCTTCTCATTCTTTATTTAATTTGATCGAGTCTTTATATCTTTATAACATTTTATAGAAAAAGTTGCATCATACTATTCAACTCCACCCTGCTTATTTTACACAAAATTTTGAAACTTACCTTACAGAAAAATTATATAAAGATGTTGAAGGAACTTGTACAGGGAGATTTGGTTACGTTATAGCAGTATTAGATACTAACGAAACTTTAGAGATTTCTCAAGGAAAGGTTATACCTTCAGTTGGATTAGCCGAATTTGAAGTTGCGTATAGAGCAATTGTTTTCAAACCTTTTAAAGGTGAAGTCGTGGATGGAGTAGTAAGTCAAGTTAACAAGGTAATAGAGGAATTTTTGAACGTTGAATGTTTAAAAGAATATTATTAACTTGAATATTAAATATGTTAGATGGGTTTCTTTGCTGACGTTGGACCATTACAAGTATTTGTTTCTAGTCATGTAAGCAGAATAGAATTATCAGTTAAATCAAGTAACTCTTTGAAGTTTCTAACTAGGTTTGTCTCTTTTACAGTTGATTCCTCAAGATTTAAAATTCGATCCAACAAAAAACCCTCCATGTTATGCCAATAACAGCGAAGATTCCGTAAGTTAGAATTAATTGTTATTTCATCTAATTTTACTGAGACTTCAAATCCATTTAAGGTAATATGTTTGATTTAGTATGCAGTAATTGAAAAAGGAACTCATGTCAGAATAAAGATTGTTGGAACAAGATTTGACGCAACTGATATTGTGAGTTTATAAAGTAACGAGAATTTTTTTTTTTTTTAAAAAAAAATATTTATTAATTGAATTTTGCCTAAAGTTCGCAATTGGAACCATTAAAGATGATTTTTGTGGAGTTGTTACCGGAAGTTAATATCTAAAGGACGACCTTTACGGTAAGTTAATTAATTATGTAAGTTAATTAATTTATTTTAATTAGGAAATTTAATTTACTTTTGAGAAATAAATTTCATTAACAACGAAAAATCAGTTCGAGGCGAATGTTAATGCATTTTTAGCGGAATTGATCAATTTTTATATAGCAAAATTTAAACAACATCTAGGTTTCTGAAATTTTTATTTCTTTGATTATATAAATGTTAGTGACTATATTTAGTATGTGAGTAAAAGAGAGATAAAGAGAGAAAAATAAAACTGAATGGCCAAAATATATAATATAAATACCGAAATCCGGTCTCAAATGATTTTTTCAATATAACTCGGGGGTTAAAGATTTTTTAACGCATTCTATATTTTTAGATTTCGGTTCCCACATCCATGATAATATGAAAAGGGCCGACACGTATACTAATAAGAAAACAATTTTTGATTTAGGAATTATTATTTGTGTTCGTTTTTCTAGTCCGATCTAAAAAATAAAGCATAATTAAAAATTTTTTTTTATAAATATAAATGAGTGATTGCATAAATTAAGTTATTAAACCTTGTGAGAAACTTCAATGATTGAACCACTCTTCCAATGATTTGGATAAATGAAATCAGCTACCCATTTTTCATTTCCTGTTATATGCTATATATAAGATGGATTTTTTAAATAAAAAATTTAAATTAACAAAAAGGCTTATAAATTAAATTAAACCTGTGGAAATCCGTGTCGCCTTAATTTCAACTTGGATAAATCTAAATTATAGAAAAAAACGGTCATTATAAGAAAGAAGAGACCATATTCGAAAACGAAATTAAAAGGTTGCGCTGAGTGGGAGTATTGCATATTTTTTTATCATCTGGAAAAAAAAAAAAATAAAGGCGCGCTATTTATATTTTTTTTGGGAACATTTTGGCATGTGCACTTTCCAGGTTTGGTCATTAATAAATAAATGTCAAAATGATCATCATGTGCAACATTTTTTATCACTGATATAAAATTCATAAACTAACAGAAAGTTTTTTTTCAAAAATGAATAAAAGTAAATTAAAATTAAACGTTAGTTTAGGAACATCCTATGACCCAAAAACACACGTTACAATACTTCCAAATGATGATTCTAATCCATATTATATTAACACTCAACATTTTACAGGCAGAATATGCGTTCGTATAAGAGATTTTAAAGGAATAACACCATTAGGTACATCAAGAATCGAATCAAGCCCTTATTTTGAAGGAAATAACGATCAATATTCAGTTCAAGTACAAGGAAGATTTAAAGGGAATAATTTGACGGCAGATGACATTATATTTGGTGTAAATATAAAACTTTTTAAATTCGAACCCGACTTCAAATCACGCGTTTTAACTATCAAAGTTTCTTTTCTTTTTAACACACACATATATATATTAGAATGACTTTGATAAAAAAGTTAATTTGCCACCTGGATCATGGTTGGGATTAAAGATTCTTCAATATATTGATTCTGGATTAGAAGCAGATATTGCTTGTGATAAACCTTGGGCATATAGTCCACTGGCTTTTACTATGAATAGATTAAATGTACATGAAGAACCTGATATTAAAGATGGAGAATTACCACCATGGCCTTCTATTAATGGTGAACATATTGAAGAAAATGTGATTATTCCGCGTGATGGTGATAAGATTGAAGTATTAAATAATGTTTCTATGAGAAAAAAATATTTCAATTCAAAGGAAAATCGAAAAATCTTTCCTATTAAAGAAAATCAAGTTTGGAATTTTGATTTCTTTAATGCCTATGTAGATTTTAATGATGTTGCTGTAAAAGTAATTATTACAGAGAAAAAAAATTTTTTTTTTTTGACTTTGATGATTTTATGATTTATGATAATTATATACATATATATATATATTTTATAGTTACCTGGATTTAAACTCGGAGTCCTGCAGTATTGGGAAGGTCAGGTAAATGACTATTTTAAATTTTGCAGTGATCTCACCTTAACAAATTTTTATAAAAACGCGTAATTCTTTAATTGAACATTTTGAATTAATTCTTTTTCAGCCTGTTCGTTATGTGTGCAAATCGCGCGATTCTTCAATCGTTTTCTTTGTTGTTGTATTTCAGTTGATTCCTATTGAAGATGATGATGTTAATACAATAACAAAATACAAGGAGGAAAAAGTAGGAGAATCCCTTGAAGAACGTCCGGATATTTCTGATTTTACTCCAAAAACTGGTGCAAGATGGGCATCGGTAAAATCTCCAACATCATTCTTCCCATTCAACAAAAATAAAGAAAATTCTATACGGCCATCACCATCTTCATCACCATCTCCTTCGAGAGACGTAACTAAATTTAATATTGAACAAAATGATCCTGATGACGACGACATATTGGATTAATCTTTTGATTATGTTCAATTTCCAAAACTTATTGACAATAGCTTCATTTTATTTTATTTTTTGCGAACGAATCTATAAAAAGCCAAATCACGAATAATAATGTAAATCACTATATTTACAATTACTATAAAAAAAAAATAGATAATCTCTATAATTAAACTTGTTAGAATTATCCATGATATATACAAGTATGTGCTTTTCTAAAAGCTTTTTTTTTTTGTTTTTTTTTTTAATCCCAAGCCCAAGAAGTTAAACCCAAACCAACTTCAGCAACAGATCCAATAATTTCATAAGGTGCTTGTTTGAGTTTATGGGTTTGTGAAGAAACAGTGGTCGCTCCTAATAATCTACTTCCTTGTAAAACAGAAGTACCTCCAATGGTAGAATTGGATTCAGTAGCAGTAATGTCACCACTAGCAATATTCTGTTGTAAATTTGTTACACTCTTATTATTGCCAACAATCATGACATCAGAAGGCAATGAAGAAGAACCAGGTTGAGGAACTTTTTGTCCAGCTACGGCCCCAGTACGTTTGGGTGGTGGACCTTTTGTACCAATATCAGTAAATTTCTCTTCTATAATTCTAAATTTTAATGGTTGATCCTTATCCATATACATATACAAATATTTATCTTCTACTGATTTCCATAAATTTTCCGGTAATGGATTGTCCCATAACCTTACCCAAACTTGTGATCCAAAATCACTTATTATAAAAAAAAAAAGGAAAAAGTTTGATAAACAGTTTAAAATGATATCGAGAAAAAAAAAAAAAAAATTTTTGAATAACTTACAACCTCCAGCCATCATCATTATTTGTGGGGATTAATATATCATCGAAATATCCTAAAGTTACTATTCAAAAAAAAAAAAAAAAAAAAAAAAAAAAAAATTGTTGCAAAGCAATTCGAAAGGTCATTTAATTATTATACTAGAGAAAATAATATAAATTTTTTAGAGAACCCATACCTTTAACACCTTCGGGTGTATTACTTGAAACTTTTCCTTCCAGAATTTCACCAATGAAAGGTCGAAATACGACTATTCGAAATGTAACTATGAAGAAAATTAATGTTCTATAAAATTAGGGAGAATTATGCATTTGTCAAACATAAAGCCAAAAAATTACCTTTAGCATAACTAGCACCGTTCCCGTAATGAACTATTTCTTCGCTTGCAGAAAGTATATCAAATAAGCATATACATAATCCAACTTCTTGAATAATCTTTCAAATATCATAAAAGAAGTATTCGTTTAATACTTTACAGAATTGGAGGACAAAACGGAAAAGGGGAGATTAAACCTTACTCTATTTGCGTAAATTCGATTAATTTCGTCGCTTAATGCATCATATTTAGATTTATAAAAATCATAAGGTTGTATATGAATTGTATCTTTCAAAACTGATAATATAAACATTATATAACATTCTGAAACAGGGGGGAAAAAAGCAAAACAACAATTTTTTTGTATATATATGCTTTTTATAAAGTTTATTAAAATCACGTGAATTTTTTGATGATCATGATTGATCACGAATATATTTTTTTTTTTTGACGAAAATTTCATTCTTCCAAAACCTTTTTTTTTTTTTTAATAAAATTGCATAAATTGAATAGAAAAATTATTTAATAATGATACGTTGTAAGTTTATTAATTAATTAATCAAAAATATCATTAAATTTGAAATATATCATATCTCTAAAAACTTTCTTTAGATAATAACGGAAATGAATCGGATACCGAAGATTATTCAACACCTGTAAATGACGATATATTATTACCATTCACCCCACTTAACACAACAACACAAACCACATCCTCAAGGCACGAACCTTCACTAAATGATTTACATAGACGACATGACTCAAATACTTCACCAGAAGGACAACAACAATATACAACGCCACCTGAACTTGTACAATATATTCCAACTGAAGATGATATTCATCATCATTCACGTTCTTCTAATTCATCAGAAGAAGAATCTTCAAATCATTTATCAATAAATAGAAGAATTCATAATATTGAACGAACAATAAATAATTTACAATCATCATTAATTACTCCTCGTAGAATAAGTGAAATTGAGAAAGCTCTTGAAAAATTACAAGCTGAAGTTGCTGCTTCACATGAACGGATAGAAGGATTAAGGAGAGAATTAAATGAACGTGAAAAAAACAAGAGAATTATAAATCGAAGTTGGTCTTGGTTTGTCAAAGTGAGTTCCTCATGTTTGTTTTTGACGTTGTTCCAATTCAGATTTTGAAACCATTTATTTAATTTCATCTTTTAGATTTTGGCAAAGCATGCAATTATAAATTTTGTCATATTAGCAATTATATTTGCCGCATATGCACTTAGAAGTAGAAGGCGACATTTACCAATAAAGGATTCTTGGCTTCAAAGATTACGTATGCGAAATCGTAAAGTCAAACAATTTGCAAAAAGTGCATTAACTGATTTTAAAAGTACTCACTAATCCTTACCTTTTTGCTCTTATTTAGCTTATAGTTAGTATACTTTTATCTAGTTTATAATAAGTGTAATTATTTTACGTATACTTAATGTTATTATCTGATATTTTATAAATAATGAATCTTCTGCATATGTTACACACATTTATTAATAACGTTGTAACTTTGTAACTTGTAAGAATCGGCCGCAAGAGAATAATATTTAATAATTCAGAAAGAAACATTATTCGTTTTATCAATAATTTACCGGTAGTGGAATGAATGAATAAATAATGTTCAACGGAATATTGATAAATACAAATTAAATTATTATATAATTTTTAAAAATGAATCGCTTTATCATATGTGGACATTGCTGAAATGAATAAAATAAAAAAAAATAAAATAAAAAGATTAATAAATAATTATAAATCAAATATTTAATAATGATCATGATTACTAACCAGCTTCTTTTAAAGCTTCAGACAGCGTCTAAAGGATAAAAGAATTGTTATAGATGTTTGTTTGTTTGAAGTTGGAACATAAAATTTGATTCCGAGTTTAATTCAAAAACTTACTGGATGAGCGTGGCAAGTTCTAGCAATATCTTCGCTACTTGCACCATATTCCATGGCCAAAACCGCCTCAGCGATCATTTCTCCAGCATTAGGTCCAATGATATGAACACCAAGGATTTGGTCAGTTTCAGAGTCGGAAATGATTTTGACAATTCCTTCAGAATCATCGTTAGTACGAGCACGAGAATTTGCCGCAAAAGGGAAAGTACCGACACGATATGGTTTGTTGGATGCTTTCACCGCTTCTTCAGTCTTACCACACCATGCTACTTCAGGATGGGTATAAATTACAGATGGTATCGCATCATAATTTACATGTCCATATCCAGCTTTAATAAACTCAACAGCAGCAATTCCTTTAATAAAAATACTAGTAATTAGCATAAAAACGTGATTTAATCACAGATATATAAACGAACAAGTACCTTCTTCTTCTGCTTTATGTGCTAACATGGCACCATATGTAACATCACCAATACAACGAATGTGAGGTTTGTCGGTACGAAATTGAGAATCAATTTTGACTCTACCTCTTTCATCAACTTCTATACCCACATTCTCTAACCCAAGATTCTCTGTATAAGGACGTCTTCCAATTGATACAAGAACCACATCGGCTTCCAACTTTATAAATGAAGAAAATTTTTTAAGAAACCTTTCACACAACTATCGAAATAAATTATTACGTAAATTTTACGTACTGTTTCCTTATTTCCACCTTTTGCAGGTTCAACATTTACATATACTTTGTTATCTTTTTTAGTAGCATCGATAACTTTTGTATTCAGTTTGAACTTTAATCCTTGTTTTTGAAGTATTTTCGAAAAAGACTTGCTAATTTATGTAATTGAACCGCATAAGAATCAACAACATATTACATTACCAAACAAAATTCCAATAGCAAACAATTTTACATACGCCAACTCTCCATCCATTCCAGCACCAATAGCATCAAGAAATTCTACAACAGTTACATCAGCACCTAGACGTTGCCATACCGATCCCAATTCAAGACCAATAATTCCACCACCTATAACTATCATCTTTTCAGGTACTTTTTCTAAGGAAAGTGCACCCGTAGACGTAACTATTTGTTTTTCATCAACCTATATATTTTTCTTACAATTAATAATATGATTATACAAAACTTTATATGAAAAAAAAAAAAGGTAACTTAAATATTATATCATTACCTCTAAACCTTTAAATGGTGTTGGTTCTGATCCGGTTGCGATTATAATATTTTTGGCCTTTAGCGTAGTTTTGTTTCCATCTAATCCATCTACTTCAATTTCGTTTACTCCAACGAATTTTCCATGTCCTTTAACGTAAGTTACCTTATTCTTTTTAAATAGTCCCTCAATTCCCCGAGTAAGTCCCGTGACAGCCTTATCTTTAGCCTTCAACATTGTGGTTAAATTTAGTTTCACATCCGAAACTTTTATTTTACAAAACATTAAAAACATTATATATTAACAAATTTATATGATGTTGCATGGTTATATTTTTTTAACACCATAACGTACCATCGATCCCTCTATCTTTCAATTCGTGTTTTGTTTGATGATAAATATGGGAATTGTTCAACATTGCCTTAGAAGGAATACATCCAACGTTTAAACATGTGCCACCAAGTGTGCCTCTTCTTTCAATGCATGCGGTCTGGCAAGCAAAAACGATCGCTTTAGAATGACACAAATACTCGATGCGTTATTACCGATAAATAATATAATTCGATACCTTTAAGCCTAATTGAGCAGCTTTAATAGCCGCTACGTACCCTCCCGGACCACCACCAATTACAACGGTATCGAACTCCTCACCTACAAAGATAAAAAATATTTAAACATTGTAAATTATAGGAACGAGTTTTCGTAAATAATGAAAGTATTCTACTCACCAGAAGTAGCAGCATAAAACCTACGGCCGAACACTTTAAAGCTTGCAGGTCTAGTGACTTTACTGGTGATCTGCTTGCTTATTATCTGAAACATGATAAAGTATTTATTAGCTTCAGTACAGAGACGATGATTTTTTGTGGTGATATAAAATTTTGTGAATAAATAAGTTATATGTATATTTCTGTATAATTATTGATAGTTTATATCATTATTTTATTATAAGAAAAGATGAATTGGACAAATTAAAAAAATATATCAGCTTAATCGTGATTTATTCTTTAGATAAAATTTTTGGCGGTCATTATCTAAAATTAGTATTTATAACTGGGTAATCCTACCCCTTAAAAAGATTATCTATGCTGCGGATCAAGTGTTTTTATTGCGAAATCAAAGAAATGAAAACATCTGGTATTTGTCACAAAATCTATGCAATAGATATATCAAATTCTGGGAATACTATTGACATTTTAGTTTTTGATGTTCTCAAAAAATTCTGAGCCTGATTTTCCTAGCAATCTATTGTTTTGGAATGTCATATATCAATGCAAATAAATACACACAATTACAAAAGGTTGGTTTTTTTATCAAAACAAAAAGTCGAAATAATTGACAACCAATGTCGTTTGTAGACCGAAATTTGGATTGGATTAATTTCAAAGAAAATGAAATTACAACCCATACATAGTGACCTTATTTATAGTTGAGACGCGTGGATGATCATCCTACCGATACCGATCTACAAAGATCTGATATAATTACTAAACTCTATCACATGACAAATATGTTTTTTTGAAAATCTTTTGCCGTTGCACACGATCTGAACAATTAACTGCGTTAATCAAAACAAACAAAGCCGTTCTTTTTCTTTGCCACGCTTAGCTTCGAATATTTTGCTAACCTTATAGTGTGAAATGTCCGACCTTTCTGTTGATACCGAGATGGAAATAGTACCAGCTTCAGAAGAAGTTCCTATTGAGGCTAAAAAGAGAATTCACGAGGACGAAGACGAAACCCGGTCCCCTGATGACGCTAAAAGAATAAAAATTGAAGGATGTAAATAATGATCATGTCGCTTCGTTTGATTTTTGCTATACGCGTTTGATTTAAAAGTAACGTTTCGATTTTGTTTAACTCGACTTAGCCAAACGTCCCGATTCGCCTTGTTCTACTACGCCAGTTCCAACACCTAAATCTACGACGCCAGCTCCTTCTCCTTCAGGTTCAGCAACGAAAAATTCTACGGTTCCTACGAATTCTGCACCACCAACAACTACTTTATACACTCCTCCTGCGACCGCTACGGTTTTTCCTAAATCTTCTTGGCTAGATAAAATGCCTGCATTACATTTAAATGACGCACAAAAAGCAGCATTAGATAAAGCTAAAGCTTTCGCAAAAGAAATGCAGTCGGTCGTAAGTACAATAATTGAATGTTTAATAAGTTTCCTATATAATTTACAGATTATTTAAAATAAAAAACGTTTATTTTAAAGTTACTTAATTCCGCTGGAAGTAACCATTCTCCACCACCCCTTCCTACTCTTCTTTTATCGTCTAATCCTGGATTGGCTTCTGGAATAGATCCTCGATCTCTTTCTGTGTTATCACGCATTTATGTCGGATCTATAAATTTTGAATTAACCGAACAACATTTACGCGTAGTTTTTGGTCAATATGGTGCAATCAAGAGCGTTAGTATGTCCTTAGATCCTCTAACCGGAAAGCATAAGGGATTTTGTTTTATCGAATTTGAAACTCCGGAAGGTGCCTCCTTAGCTCTTGATTCAATGAATGGTGCTGAATTAGGTGGAAGGTAATTTGCTCATATCCATTTTATCTTTTTAATCTTGTATAAACGAAAAACTCAAGTGTTGTTATAATATTTAGACAGCTTAAAGTTGGTCGTCCCAACAATTATACAGCTGCAACCGCTGCTGGTTAGTAATAGGGTTTATTTTTTTCTATAATTATAGGCTTAAGTGTCTGAATAAAATATATACTGAATAAGATAGACAATATAGGATTATCTCCTCCTCCAAAAACTCGAATATATGTCTCAAATGTTAATGAATACGTAAGTGAGGAAGACTTACTGAGCATATTTGAATCATTTGGAAAAATCAATCATTGTGCTTTAATGGTATGATAAATTTTTTTTTTTCATTTTAATAATTTTTTCCTAATTAACTTGGTTGACTTTTTTCCTGTAATTTTAGCCTGATCTCATAACAAGAAAGCATAAAGGATATGGGTAAGTTGATCCAGTTAATATTATTTGTCTTTTATTGAACCTTCTCAACATATATAGTGGATACAAGATGTATTTTGGATAAAATTTTTTTTTGACGATTAATGGAGTAATATAATTCCCCGTGCAACTGGTGTCGCTGTCTGCTCACGTGTTGTGTGAATTTCTTTTTTTCTTTATTGTCCATTTCCCCTTGCATATTTTCTCTTGAATTTCTCAAATAATATATAAAACAACAGACATTTGCCATCAAGCCGCATTTTCAGTTATCAGGAGAGGAGCTCTACATTGACATGCCGGAAATTTCTTTACTTTAATTATTTAATTTATATTGGTTTATGACATCGACTTTCTCTTTTTTTTT